CCCAACGCAGTCAGAACTAAGCCTCACTCATCCACTGTCACCCTTTCCAATAAGCAAACCTCAGTGGCCAATAAAAACATTTTCATTGGACAGAGGAAGCCATGGGTGTGTATGGCAAAGTTGGGAAAGCCAAGTACTAAGTAACAAACTACAGTGGTACCTCAGTTCACAAACTTCGTTCTGCGATTCTGGTCGTGAACCGAATCAAACTGTGATCAGACCGTGATCTCGACTAGAGGAAGCCATGACCATGTGTTAGAGCAGGGGAAATGGCTGCAGTTGTGTTCGTCACCCGATGCAGAGTTCGCGAACAGAAGCAAAATTTTGCCGAACTTCGTATTCGTGAACCGAATTGTTCGCGAACAGAAGCATTCGTGAACAGAGGTACCACTGTATTAGAGAGGAGCACAAACACATTTTCTTAGCAAACAATGGTAATTGTAGGCTCCTTGAGGTACTTGCACTTAGGCAGAATGTGAACCGCAAGTCTCCTTCGGCCAGCGGTTATTAGGCAGAATAACTGGCTGCTTTCTTTAATATTTTTAATAGCATTTTTCTCTTAGGCTCATCAGGTTTTCAAAGCCCAAAACAGTGTAAAATGGCAGATCGTATCTCTATTTCTAAAATCTATGCAAATTTCACAAATGTATAGACGTTTCTATGATAAATTATATTCTGAAAGGCCAATAAGACCGTTGCACCGCTACCTTAGAATATATATTGCACTATTTAACTCTGTATGTTCTTAAAGGATATCAGTAGGGGAAGTTACAAAATGTAAATACAAAGCATTAAATTGAAAGAACTCATTAAATGTATAACTCGTATATGGATTGGTTTATGGTGTCAGATACAGTAATTTGTAATCTATGTATATTATGTACATTAAACTCTGACTTATATCTCATATTCTGTTCATATTTTACACCATACAGTGAACATATATCAGTAGTGATTAAAAAATTCTACAGATATCAGATGATTCATAATATGAGATGACTTTTTATCATTTAGTTTTACAGGGAGAGGATATTATCCTTCATTTGTCTGAAATAAATTTGCATTCCACTTTACTATAATGGTAAACAGGAAAAACATTAAGTTGTACATCCAACATAAACGACCACAAGAAAAACTGGGAATTAGAGGTAG